CATTCGGTAGCTACGCCACTGCATCACACGCTAAGTGTGCGATGGCCTTAAGGGTGCCTACATACTGGATCAATCTAGTCTAGCTATGATAAGTCAAAACGTTCAGAGCCCCATAGCGCAACATGCAATGACTGATACCGCCTTCACACCGAATCAATCTAGTCTAGTCTAGTCCAGTCAAGCTGGGCGAGTCGTAGTGTGCATGTACACCAATCAGTCTTATTCAGCTCGTCAGTCACGTTTAGTTAAGACACAAAGAGGCACCGGCTCTATGTTTCCGTCAGTCTTTTATTATCAGTCTCTGGGTATGGGACTGGAAGTGTGGTATGGGACTTGAAGGCATGCGTGAAATGAGTTCCCAAGTGGAAGAACTGGTATCTTTGGTTCGCGAAAGGGCTGAGATCCACGACCTTGCCCCCTGTTTGTTTTTTTTTTTCCTGATTTCTTTTGTGTGCCACTTCCTCATCACTATGCCTCAATTCCGTCTTCTTGCTCTGCTAGTGCTGCTCTTTACTACGAATTCGGGCTTCCGTACGCTCGCACAACACAAGAGCACGCTCATGCTACCCGAACTCAAAGTTCACCTTCACATGGAAGCGAAGGGGCAATGACTGTTGAAAATGAGTTCCCTTTATCCCTCATTAGAAATTGATTGGGTTTGATTGAGATAGGAGAGCGGCTCCTGATTGCGCTATGAACTGGAGAATGAGACAGGTCATGAGATGCAAAATGACACCACCTTCTTGAAGCACTCCAGCTCTAGCACTAGTTTACGGGACATAAACTGTTAAGTAGTGAGAAAGATAGGTGTGACATCAGAGAAATATGGTCTCAGTTGCAAATGACCTGGCATTCTCTATCTGGCACGTATTCGCGATCCCGTAAGACCCCCCCTTTCTCTTGTGTTTTTGAATTTTTGAAAAAAAGGGGGTTGAAGGCGAATTTTTCACTACCTCATGGCATATAGCCCTCCTTAGAGTTACCGATGGAATTATGTTTGCGACTCTCAGTGTGACTCCTAGCCGTTCCTCTGGAGGGATAGCCCTTCGGTAGTTGGTGTTTTGCTTCTCTGATGTGTGGAGCTATGAGATGCAAGAGTGTCTCAAAAGAGGATGTCCTCATGCGAAAATACCTAAAGAACCGCTCAGGGTCTTTCTGCGATTCGGTGAAAAGGTGGAATTCACCGAATTGCTGCTTTTGGGAATTAATGGCATGCACCTACAACCAGGGCCGTTTCTAGGGGCGGGCGAAGCGGGCGATCGCCCGGGGCGCAAGCGGGGTAAAGGGGGATGGGGGAGGGAGGGGGGGGCGCCGTTGGAACTTCTTGCCCTGGGCGCCAACACGCCTAGAAACGGCCCTGCCCACAACTTCTTTCGCCATCTCTTTCTCCATCGCCACAACAAAACATGGGTAGACACCAGTTGTTCCTCACTCTCCTCCATGCTGCTCAACAAGACCAGGTACTAGCTCTCACAAGCCACATCGAAGCCGGTTTCCAGCAGAAACAAAAAACTGGCATTGCCTTGGTTGATCTCTCCTCTGTTTACGACACCGTTTGGAAGGATGGTCTTCTCCTTAAAGCATCTACAGTCATCAGATGCCGCAGCACGATTCGCCTCATAGCAGCCTTGTTAACTCAAGTAGCGCAAAAGAAGTGGGCCATAAACGGCCCAGGCACTACGCTGGTGGATTTCTGCCGGGGCGGGAATGTGGCGGCAAGTTGGACATGCAGTTGCTGACCCGCTACCCATTGTAGGTAGGAGGGCCACCAGCTCTCTCTCTCACCAGTTCAGGGTGGAGAATGTAGCTGGCACTCCCCTAGATGCAGTACCAAGAGTCCCCACTAGATGGTACTCCAGTTCCCTGCACTCTACTAATGCAAGGAAGTACCTGCCTTCCTGATTTAGCAAAAGTGTTTCTTCTTCGTTTTTCCTTTTTTAATATGCAATTTATAAACAGGTACTAGGAAATCGTGAAATTATGATGTTTTGATAGTAATATAAGATTCGGGGAGTTATTAAATGCTGAAGTTAAGTAAGGGAATTCAAAAGTGTACAGGACATAATACTCGGGTATGTCTGCTCTTTCTCCACCCCCCAGATATTCATAGAGGATGCGGAAGAGAAGAGCAGCGGATCATCTTGGTACTTTTAAGAGTTGGCTCCAGAGTCAAGATTTATAGTTAATTCGGATATATATATGGAGGTATTAGGACCCTTCCCAGCTCGCGGTACACCACAAACGAGCTAACTAGTAATGTGCTGGCCCTTAAGCGGCCCGGAAGGTGGCGGGCCACTACTGGCAAGTGGGACATGCGGCTGGTGACCCACAACCCAGTCAAGGTGATGGGCCACCAACTCTCTTCCCCAAACGAAGTTGGTGGCCCACCAGCTATGTGCTACTTGGGAAGCGACCGGAGATACCGCGTCCACCTAAATGGACAAGCTAGCAGACCCCGTATACTCAATAACGGACTGCCACAAGGTTCTGTCCTTGCTCCGTCGCTCTTTAACCTCTACACGAGCGATCTACCGCAAACAACCTCCAGAAAGTCTGTCTACGCCGACGACATTGCGCTCGCGTCGCAGGGTGCCACACTCTCCGCCATCGGCGACACCCTCGCCATTGACTTAGACACTTTAGCGAAGTACTTCCAAAGATGGAGACTACGCCCAAACCCGACTAGAACATCAGTCACCGCATTCCACCTCGACAACCGCGCCGCTAAAGAGACTCTTCCTGTCTCCTCCTGGACCGCAGCCTCACCTTCAGACCCCACCTCGAAAGGACACGCGACAAAGTGAAGGCCAGGGTCAGTGTCGTGCGCAAACTGGCCGGAACCTCGTGGGGTGCCGGGGCGCGCACACTACGAACAGCGTCACTAGCACTGATTTACTCGCCTGCAGAATACTGTGCTCCTGTTTGGTCGAGCAGTGCACACACCAAGGGCTTGGACGCCCAACTCAACGCATCGATGCGTCTGATTTCGGGGACTGTAAAATCCACCCCTGTTGAATGGCTACCAACGTTCTCCCATATTCCACCTCCCAACATCCGCAGAGACGCGCAGACATCACGCATCTTTAGCCGAATAAAAGCCAACCCTGATCTTCCAATCAATGAGGACCTAAAAAAAATCCGCCGAGGACCCGGCTAAAATCTCGGAACCCGCCCTGGGTCAGAAATATTGCTCTCGACGCGTCCTACTTGGACTTGGAGGAACAGTGGAAAGCCATGTGGGTCAAAGCCATCGTCCCCAACAAAAAGGCTCGTTTCTGATCCCACCACAGAAGTTGCTGGCTTCGACCTGCCAAGAAAACAGTGGACCATGCTAAACCGCATCCGCACCTCGCACGGCCGTTGCGCCCACCTCTTGCACCGGTGGAAAATCAAGACCACCCCCAGATGTGACTGCGGTTTCGAAGACCAAACCATCTAGCACATTATCCATCAGTGCCCACTCCGTTCGTTCGCAGGAACCTTGGACGATATCCATGAGCTTACCCCAACAGCCTCCAATTGGATCTCCAACCTTGACATGAGCTTATAAATGTTGCTGATCCCCCGCCATGCGCAAGAAGAACAAGATCACCATTGGAGCAGACAGTGAACAGAACTGGCATTACAGTTATGCGTGTGTAACCACCTGACTGAGCTTGACTGAAGGGGCTGGACGGACCAATGACTAAACGTGACTATACTTGACTAATTCGATGTAGAGGTATCCGTTGGTAATGGTGAATACATAACTGATCTTGACTAAAGTGACTTGACTGAAGCATGACTGAACCATGACTAATCTTGGACTGGACTAGACTAGACTAGACTGATCCGGTGCGAAGGTACCTTTAATGTTAGATGCAACGCCACCACAACGGTGGGAGGGTTCAAAATTAACGTTCATACAACGTTGATTGAATGTTCGTTTGTTTGCTGGGTTATTTCTTTTCATAATTTTTTCTCTCGCTTCAGTATTAGTCTAATCCCCCCATCACACCCTTACCCCCTACATCAGCAATTATCAGCTGGTCTAGGACCACCCTGTCCATTTTTGCTGACGTAATTATTGAACGCTTTCCTTAGTCTACCATGTCACACTTCGCTTCTGTGACGTTACGAAGGAATGAGACCCCCATTAAGCTTCATCCTCGACTTAAACTCGAAGAGAATGGAATTATTAATTGAAGTTTTATGATTAGGAGGTGTTTGAGCTTGCATTTCCTACCTCCATGATTTGCCGTAGGCGTAGGGAAAAGTTGAGATGGCCTCGCCAGCAAACGAAGCGCGAGGCGCTCAATCGAGGATGCTCGTCATTCTCACATGACGTCATCGACGAGTCTTTTCTCCTGTAGGACTTGGCTGGAGTTGTTTCTCTGTGAAGGAAATTCATCGCGTCATCTGTGCACAACCTCTTTTGCGTAAGTAGAGCTGAAAACTTTTGCGCCGTTTATCTCACCCTTTCGCCATCTCCTCTGTAGCCTGCTAGGCCTAACGTTAGACCTAGGCAGTTACGGACCTAACCACAACACGGAACCCTCAGCGTTTGAACAAACTTGGAAGATAATTTTGTGAACGTACTGATAAGGATTCTCAGTATCAATGAGAATGCTAACGAGTGAAAATGAGAACTCTTGTACCTTCTGTTCTGATAAGGGATCCATTTAAGTAACATTGGGCCTAACTTGATCTGAACAGACAAAGCATTTGTTATACCGTTATGCCTAAACTTGGGCCAGGTCAGGGCTTACGACAGTCACTGTCAGGCCTAAGCTAACAGACCTGAGAAAACTCTATGCGGCAGAAGGTAAGGTGGAAAATAAGGCTTTGCAGAATACTCATTTCTCAACTCAAGACTTTGGGAAGGGTCAGGGTGTCATGAGTCATTCGCATCCCAGCATATGCATGCCCAACAGTAGATGAAACGCCTGCCTAAAAACTTGACAAGAATTGTGCATTCTGGGAAATCACCCTTTTTGTCCAAAAACCCATCCCATTTACTTATGGGTAAACCCTCTGATCTCAGGGTATGAAAAAGGAATCTAAATGTTAATTTTTCAAAGATTTATATCAATTTACTCAGACATGACTAATCATGTGATTAGCTGTCATTTGTTGTCAAAAGTTTCTGTTTTACATGTAGTGTTGTCTGCTAGCTGGTTTCACTTTTTGAGATTGGGCATTCTTTCAAGTTGGCATAACAAAATTTCCTGTGTTAAGAAAAAAAGTTGCATGGACAATTATGGATTGTTTATTGATTTATGTAATCCTTTTACTGGCAATATTCAATGATGAGGAAACTTTATTTTTATTATCAGATCTGGATCCTTCTGCCAAGTGTGAACAAGGGCGGTGTGGCAAAAGTTGCCCCATTTATTGGCTTCTTCCAAAAGGAAGTCAGTATACCCAGGGGCTAAAGACAGGACAAGCCACTTTTTCTTGGGGCTACCTGTCTCTCTGACAAGATGTCAACTCCAGCAAGAAGAAGACTGATGAGGGATTTCAAAAGGTACAGCAGCCCATGATCTCATTTTTAGCAATGTAGGTCTGCATCTTTAACCCTTTAATGCATGACATAGCAGATATGCTACATACCAAATGAACATTTGTAAAATGCACATGTTGCAAGCTCCTGAGGTAAATTTGTTCATGGCAGATGTACAGCAGTCTGGTCCTTATACCTAGCAACTATGTGGTCGCTAGATGCCATACACTCCTGGTGGCATGCAAATTATAAACATTTGGCTTCGTTGTGTGAGAGATAGATGTTTTTGGTGCAATGTTCTTAAACTTCACGTTAATCCAGTGTCCAAGCTCATTGTATTTTTACATTTTCTTTTGTGTTGAGGTATATACGAATGTTGACAGACAGGCTAAGCTCTCTAGTGTCCATGCATGGTGGGTATGAAAGCTGAAAATGCTGTTTTGGCAAATTGGCAACAACATTTTTGAATCTACTACTTACACATTTGATTTAAAACAAATTTTCCCACTTGTTCCATGTTCTAGGATGCAAGTGAAACCTACTGAATTTTTTTGCTAAAAAGAAAAAATAGTACATTAAAGGGTTAACTTCTTTGGAATCGATTTCCTTGCAACCTATTCTCTTGAAAGCCAGACAACTGAACCAACTAAACTACAATAGCATGAGTGCTGCGAATGTTGGCACTCTAAGCAAATTTTTCACTTTCACCTGGCCTGGTGGTTTTGGTAATGGGAGCCTCCTTGTTCACATTGGATTTGGTCATACCTTTATTATAAACCTCCTTGTTGTACAGTTGGCACCACCGTGCAGGGAATCTCGGCACACCTATGTATCACTGTCATTTACAAAGGACTCAAAAATGAATACAATGACCTAATAAAATAATACCTTGTGTGGACAAGAAGAAAATAATGTGCAAATGTTTAGCAAAATCACAAGATTTCATCAGATTTTCAGAGTGCAAGAAGAGAAGGCAGCTACTGTGAGAAAACTACAACAGCAAATATTGCTGTTCCTAGCACATGTTAACAATAGTGCCACCATCTGAGAATATGTGTCTAACCATGCCTAGGGGACTGGTTGTGAAATCAGAAGTTTGACAGATGCAAAGTGCCGAGGTTGCCCCCAGTGCCGACATTTGCAGCACTCACCCTTTACTGCAAAGACAAGAACATAGAGGGGCATGTGTCATCCTATTTTCCCAAAGAATTGACACTTTGGGAGGCATCATGAGGATAGGGAGAGAGAGTGCATGAACATGAGCATGAGCAAGCTGTCAGTCATGTTAGTTTGCTCCTGAATCTAGGACTTGAGGTGATCCAAGTCAGGCCCCCCCCTTCACATTTATTTACTTGGCATCAATCGGAGATATCATTTTAGCAATATCCAATGTGGTGGTGCCAAAGTTTCCTGTACTTTTTTATCTCTACAAAATACTAATATCACTATTTTCATGTCAGAGGAGTTGAATGATTGTATCTGCAGCAAATGCTCCATTGACACAACATAAATAATTTCAAAGTCAAGTCAAAGGTCTTATTTCTTCTGGAATGCCTCAAGTTTCATGTGAAATTCATATTTATGCATTAGAGAATATAATGCCTTTATCTAGGAAGTATTGCAAAAATTGTAGGGGAAATGAAAAATTTTAAAATTTACTGGTCCAGGAATAGTTTACTTTGTGGGTTCAATGGTTGGCTAGTGTTTGTGGACAATAAAGTATAGAAGTCCATATCTTCTAGTGTAATGTTGTTCTGCATGGTCTTGAAATTTATTGACCTCATAATTTGGTGTTTTTTTTTTTTATTTCAGACTTCAAGAAGACCCTCCTGCTGGTATTAGTGCAGCTCCCACTGACAACAATATCTTGATCTGGAATGCTGTGATATTTGGGTAAGCATGAGCTATGAAACTGGAATAGCATATGTGGAGATAAGTTTTACTTCTATGTTACTTCTATTTTTCAGGCCTCATGACACTCCTTTTGAGGATGGAACTTTCAAGCTTACAATGGAATTCACAGAAGAATATCCCAATAAGCCCCCCAATGTACGATTTGTCTCCAAGATGTTCCACCCAAATGTTTATGCAGATGGGGGGATTTGCTTAGATATTTTACAGAACCGGTGGAGCCCAACATATGATGTCTCTGCCATCCTCACTTCAATCCAGGTAAAGAGAACTTGGCTGTTTTTATTCACAGACATGGTGTGAAACAATATTTTATAACTTTTATTTTCACATGTTCTAGTCTTTGCTGGATGAACCAAATCCCAACTCCCCAGCCAACTCTTTGGCTGCTCAGCTGTATCAAGAAAACAGACGTGAATATGAGAAGCGTGTGGCTGCTATTGTGGAGCAGTCTTGGTTGCACTTTGCTGATGAAGAGAGCACTGAGGAGGAGAAGAAACAGGACACTGAAGGAAACTCTTAACAATTGCCTTTACTTCTCTTTTGTTAATGGAGTGTGTGCAACGCTCAGTAATCCTGAACATGCTGAAGAATTGTAGCTGAGACTTTCTGTCTTTCCAGAAAAAAGAAAAGGAAACTTCTTTCACCCTACTGTTGTGATTTTAGAAGTAGGTGAATTTGGTCTGGGGAGTTGCTGGCATTTTTCTCACTCCCCTTCTTTGCAACTGCTTTTCCCTATGTTAATGCATCTTTATTGCACTAATATGCTTCTTGCTTTCTGAGGTTATTTCATTCAGTTACCGATTTTCTTTGGTTGCACAAGTGCGATTATTTCAAAACAGCAGAAAATGTCAACCTTGAGGGTTTGTTTAAAATATTTTAGGGTTCCTGCTCAATGTCCTTTCCTCTCAGTTGCCTTTGGAACATGAATTGTGGTGGAGCAAAAAACTTTGGAAAGTCAGGAAAATCCTGAGCGGTGAGCTGTTGTATTGTTCAAAGCATTGTTTCAGTTGGCTGAATTGGTGTTGATCTACATATCCACAGGAATGCTTAAGAAGTAGAATTGAATTCCTGAAGGAGTAACTTCTTGCCTGTGACTGTGTGATTGGCTTACAGCTCCTTTGATTCAATCCCAGTGACTCACTCTTCACACTGAGAGTGATCAAGATGCTTAATGGTGAGCTTTTGCTTTTGAAGTCACATAGGACAGTATTACTAATTCTTCTCTTGACAAAGAAGGGAAGGAATGTTTGCTGAGAGTCGTGAAATGATCGAAGCAAAGAGCACGAGAAGATTGTATTATTTTTGTGCTCCTCACCAACTTTCACATGAGTGACAAACTGCCAGCATGTGATCAATTCTGCCTACTTCTGGGCTTCACCTTGGGACATGTCTCTCCCCTCATCTTTTGCTCCACCTTGCAATTAGTTTCCATTTGGTTTTGTATGTGATTTCTCATCATTGCACTAGATATATAATTGTACAGTGAGGAAAGAAATTATTGCTGTGGTATAATAAAAGTTGCAGTTGCAGCATCATTCTGTGTCTTTTTGCATATAACATTTGCTCTTATTTAGGTTTATCTACCCTGGGCTGTCTGGATTGGTTCCTTTCCTGTCACTGCCAATGGTAGTTGCAGGTGTGCCTACAAGGAAATAACTCTGCACCCTTAAAATGTGGTATAATCATTCATTATTAATCAGTTTTGTCTTACCCCATTTATTTGACTACATATTCAATGTATTTGGGAGGTGGTGATACCTTGTGCAACATAGTTGAATGAGAGGATGTCAATTTCTGTTTGGAGAACCATTTAGAAATATTTCTGTTAGAATATGGAATGCCATACCTGCAGTGAATAAGAAGTAAAGGTTAGTATTGTTCTGATTCTGGGAAGTAAGAGTTGAGTGAGTTTTTTTTTTCCATTGCTATGTTGCCAAGTAAGGAATTGAAGAAAAAATAAGCATCTCAAACCTACCATGAACTATGAGTTTTCTTATAAACTGTTTACATTATTTATTGAACATGGATCTTTCCAAAGAAGGTGCATTTTCTTAGAGGTTGGAACAATTGCCTCATTACAGTTTTCCCAAATCTTTAAGTTTGCAAGCCCTTACCCTTGTCTGTGCCCATTCTTCAAGATGCATATACAGCTGTTTTAGATTTGCATCTGGGAAGTCATGAGTGATCAAGGCTGACTGCTACTTCATATTTTACTTATGTGAAGAAGTATACATTCATATGGCAATGGAAAAGTGTGAAGTTGCTGAAGAAGTTCTGCAGGTGGGTTCTTGAGTCCCTGATTAGATTTTAGATGTATATTAGGCAAATTCTGCTTAAGGTTGGATGTGTTGATCCAAATGCTTCAGGTTCTTGCATCTGGGGAGGAGAATTCTGTCTGCCTTCTATATGGTGGATGGGATGGGAGTAATAAGTGTGTCATTTTGGGAAGCATCTGCCTGGACCCAAAGCAAGGGGTTTCAGGCAGCACGCGTTTTGCTCGGGAGACTCTTCCAACAGGATTAGAGAAAGTTGGAGTTGCAGTGAAAGCTGCAAAGTCCTGTCAAGACCCTGCTTCGTTGAAAGTCATTCAAGATACCCTGGTTAATACTACCTCAGTCTATGGTAACACTTATGGTTGAAATCTAAACTTCAACAGAAGCATCTCATTTCTTAGGTAGTCGATGAAGGAGACATAGTCATCATTCACGGAAATGCAGATGAAAGTGTGGCTTTTGTGTATGTGAATTCTGATTGGAAAGGGATTGCACTCAATCAGAAGTCCTATGCTGCAATGACACAAAGACGCTACCTTGTCCGCCTCATGGGATCCCTTGCATTGGCATGTCCCTGTGAAACAGAGAGCATTATGTCTGCATTTCAGCATTTGAAGTCTCAGGTTTTGTCAGATGCATCATGCTTCATGTTTGTTAGGAAGCGTTCCATCATCAGAACCAAAGACAATGTAATTGTGAAAAATTCTAAAGTTTCTGTGGACAGTGAGTTGAAAGACTACTTGGAAGTAGAAAAAGATACTGAGGAATTAGATGATATTGTTGGTCAACAGGTAATGTTGCCTTACTTTTCTATGATATCCTTGCTGGTTTATTGAAAAAATCAAGCAACATTTTTGTTCCTTGAAGGATGAGGGACATGTTCAGGTCCTGCTGCAACTATCGAGAGATTTTGAAGGGGAAGATCGCATGAGGTGTTGTCCTGTAGTTTATGAACACAGAGGTGAGCACTTGGCATATTAACTCATGCTACCTGCAATTAAAATCAGCAGGAATTCAACATTTGACATTTGAATTCATTAGACATGCCTTTCACTTTCAGATTCTGGGCATGGTCAGCCCATCCAAACAAGTCTCATGATTGACACACTGTTGTTGTTGCCACAAGGGTTGGAAATTGAATCTTGTGTCCCCTTGTTTCGGGATTCTATCTCCAGTCAGTTAGATGCTATAGAGACATGGCTTCTACGTGGTGTTACAGAGAAGTGGCATAACATTGGAAAGTATGTTCCTCATCACTTTCAGCCTTTGCCATTAGGAGGCCTGCCAATCACAATAGTCTACCCAGCTGATCTTTCAGATGTCAGCCTTGGTGAGTCTAGTCTTTTCTGTCATGGCTATAGATCTTATCTCTCAAGCATTTATTGCAAACTTTGGTATCTTATGTTGCAGAGAAATACAGGAGAGAGATTCATCATAAGCTTCTGCTGGGTAATGAAAGGCCATTTCTACGGCGTGGCTGTCAGATGTTCCTTTCCAATCCTGCTGGCCTTCTGTTCAACCCTCATGAGGATTTATACACACCCTCAAGTATGTTATGCTGAGTAGCTGGTCTTTTTGTTTGGGGTGCCAATTTGATTTGTGTATAAGATTGATTAATTGATCAAGTTTTAGTTGTGGTAAAAATTGTTTGATCATAAATAAGTCCATATATGTCCTTTCTGATGGATTATATTAGAAAATAAGAAAATAAGCACTGTTTCATTAGCTATTAACCCAGGGCTTGCATTTATGCACAAATGTGCATCCTATATGCACAAAATTCCAAAGGGACACACAACAGAAAAACATCATGGTCCCAGGGGCACATGAGGAATTTCTCAGATTTTCTGACCAGTTGGCAGTTAGAACCATGCCTAAATAAACTCATGCATTGCCTTGTTAGGGGCAGGAAAGGGGGGGTCAAAGCAAAGTCCTTGCCGAGGTAGGTGTGCGATGCGAAAGTGATGAGCGCAGTGCAGTGTTCACGCACTCATGGCATGTTTCAGTTAGTTTTGATTAGGCTTCAGGGCAGTCAGGGACAACACTCTTCATGTTCAGTTTTAACTGGAAAAAGTATGATGTTAGTTTATTCTAATCACATGTTGGCATACATTCAGGTGTTCCTGAACATAGGCCTAGTGCTAAATAAAGAAAGGTATCAGCAATGTAGATGTAAATTCTTAATGAAGGTGATGTCTTTATTCCACTTTTAATGTACACAGAGAATGGAAAATTGCCATAGGCCTTGACTTAGTCAAGTTGAAGGGAAAGAGCTGGACATGGGCAGCTTGTGAACCATGAATCACAGCAGAGAAAATAATTAACCCGTTCATGGCGTATGATCATTATAAAGATCATATCTTTTGAGATTGCTCTTGCGGTTACCATTGAACAAAGCTTGTTTTATTTTGTACCTCTTAACAGCTCTTGAAAAGGGCTCTTCAGTGATACATCATTTGTTCAAATAAGTTGTAGTTCAGGCAAGCTGGATCAAAAAGAAAAGTTGTGACCTGATACTTTTTATTTTTTGTGAAATGGAATTTTGACCAAAAAAGAAATCTTTTTTCTTTCTTTTTTTTTGGGAAAGGGAAAAATATGCCTGCATGCTGCAGGGATGAATGGATATAATTAGGACAAAGGCCAAGTTTTAGGGCTTCCCATGTGTGAACATTGGCCTGTTATTCAGTATTTTTGGTTGATGATTCTTGTAATTAAAAAATTTCATTTTGGAATATATGAGTAAGTATTTTTACATTTTCTGTGAGCTCGGTCTTAAGCTAGGCCTGTTCAATAGAAAAAGCAGTGAAAAAATGTACTAGTTATTCATTTTCTTAATTCGGCCTTGAAAGGGTTAAAACATGGAAAATGGAGTGGGTCTACACTTATCCCTGACTTTCCTGTAGAGTTGGAAGAGCTTCCTGTGATTTCTGCTAAAATGAAAACAAGAAAAATACCTACTCAGCATCTGGCATTTGTAATTTGCAAATTTGATGATGCCCTAGGGATATTTGTCTCAAAGAAAATGTTGGAAGTAGTCCTAAGGCTGCAGATTGAATATCATGCTGTTTGGTTTTGATAAATCAAAGAAAAAACATAGACTTGAACTTTTTGTGGAACTTTGAGATTTTATGTTTCAATTGCAAAGGGACCTCCAAATTTTCAGAGGGACCCTTTCTTATCAGATCTGAGAGTCCTGGTGACCCTTAAGGCAAAAAAGTTAGCACAATCCCTGTAACCCTAATGTTTCTTATGTTTTCATTATGTATCAATAATGTAATGAAAGAGTGTGCCCAGTCTGTTGGGGAAATGGAGTCTTAGTAGAAAAGACTGAAAAATCTTGAAACCTGGACTTATGTCATGGTTAATTCATGATATATCAGGTGTATGCAAAAGTTCTTGCGGTCTACAATTATTTTATATATAACAAAGACTGAATTTAATTGGTGTTTGTAAACTATTGCTCTATGGTTGCACTTTTATTATCTGCTACATTTGGCCTGTCACCTTATTACGTTTCCCCATTTCAGATGAATTTTGATAAAGTGCATTATCGACATATTATGCTCTCAAAGTTCCGCGAAGGAAAAAAGGCGTCGGAAGCAGCAAGAGAAATTTGCGCGGTTTATGGGAGTGACGCACTGAGCGAAAGGACTTGCCAGTGGTGGTTTGCGAGGTTCAGACGAGGAAACTTCGACCTGAATGACGAACCCCGAAAAGGAAGACCAGTGAAGCTGCTTAACGACCAGTTGGAGGCCTTGCTTGAGAAAGACCCGGCCCAAACTGAGCAAAAACTCTCCGATCAGCTCGGAGTCGACCAATCGACCGTGTCTCGACACTTGGGTGAGCTTGGAAAGATCTTAAAGGCCGGAAAATGGGTGCCGCATAAGCTCACGGAAGCCAACAAGAATCACCGTCTCAGTGTGTGCATTTCTCTGGCCGCTAAACAGAAAAAGAAGAGCTTCCTGCATCGGATTGTGACAGGGGACGAATCCTGGGTCTACTACGAGAATCCTGTGCTCAAGAAACAGTGGCTAAGCCCTGGTCAGCTGGCTCGTTCGACTCCAAAACCCGGCCTCCATCGAAAGAAGGCTCTGCTATGCATTTGGTGGGACAGCCAAGGGATTCTGTATTACGAGCTGCTCCCTCTTCCGGTTTGGCACTTGCGGTTTGCAATAAGCCGAGTTGACTCCGCAGATTTACTTCTTTAACTCGCTTTCTCCGGCATATGACCGTTTCCTTCCGCGTTCCAGTAAAACGACGTACTGTTGCGGCGGCCACACGTGGCAAGATCGACTCGCCAGACAATCGAGGATCTGAGATGGGAAGTGATGTCACACCCGGCTTATAGCCCAGACTTGGCGCCTTCAGATTACCATCTTTTCCGGGGCCTCAAGAATCACCTGCGTGAGCAGAGCTTCAAGAAGCTGGAAGAAGTAAAAAATTCGGTGCAGGGATTCTTTGCCTCCAAAAACAGCGAATTCTTTTGGCGCGGAATCCACGACTTGCCCAATAGATGGGAGAAAACCATTGCTTCAAAAGGGGAATATTTTGATTAGATGGTGTTGTTATTATTTGAATTATTTGAAATAAAAGTTGGGGAAAAAACCGCAAGAACTTTTGCATACACCTGATACATACAGCTTACAGTACACGGGGATATTCTGCTCCTAAACACCATCATCATGATATTTGAGCTGATTCTCACAATCGCCATTGTGAACGCCTTGGTTTAGCACGCTTCATGAGACTCAAGACGACATTGCTGATTTCATTTTCCCAACACATTCAACACTCTTGCATCACCGATTAGCTCATCGGCTATTAGCGCTAGCGTATGGTACAGACACCAATGATTCTGAAACAGTACGGACCGTTTCCAAGAAATTGTTCGACGACACAGAGGGAAGTTAGTGCATGTGCGGCACAATGCTGAAGACTAATTCCTGAAATGCCAACCTTGCAGGGTTCCTTAGCAGGCTGCACGGCTATCTTGTTCCGAAGCTCAGCATTCGCTGCCTCTTGACCGCTCTTGAGCCTATGGCCGCTGAGACCGCTGCGGTCTGAGCGGCCATAAGCTCCCTGCGTACATGTGGTTGCTGTTTATCACCGATTCTAACCATTACGGCTAGCACCGATTTCGGCACTTCGTACCGCAACTGCAATGGCAAACGTTTTTTCCGCGCCAGCTCCAACCTTTTTTTACCAGCAACAACTGCCTCATCGCCGTCCTGTGGGAACTCCTCCAACATTTCTTCTTCGCGTTCAACCTCACCTCGCAAAAATCGCCACCATTTTGATGGGAGGTGCACTTCGTTTGCGCGACATATGAAGAGAGACTTTTTAGACTATCATTTATCAGACTATCATCAAAAACCGGGAGTGGAAAACGTGCTCCAGGTAGTGGCCGCCCATTAAGTGAAAGAACTGAGGTGAACATTCGATCTGTTAGTGACCTCATCTTGAGCCAAGAAGGCATATCAGGCACCAGCAAAAGCGAGCGTGAAGCCGCGAAGGAAATTGGAATTTCGCATTCTTCTGTGCAGCGTATCATCAAGCAAGATCTTAAACTCAAAGTCTTCAAACGGGTACCAGTTCCCGAACTTTCGGAAGCTGTGAAGATGAAGCGAGTGATGCGGTGCAAAAAACTTTTGAGTCGTTTCCAATCCCAAAAAGCGGCAAAAAACAGTGTGGTTCACAGATGAGAAGCGCTTCACAGTTGAGACTCCATGGAACACCCAGAAAGATCGCATTCATGCAGCAGTTGAACGGAAAAAAGATGTCGAACCATCTAGGCTTTTACGTCAGAGAAAACACTTTACTGAGTCAGTCTTGGTCTCACTTGGAGCCTCATCTCATGACAAAACTTCCATTCTATTCATTCCTAGAGGAGTTAAAATCAATGCTGAAAGTTATTGCAGTGATGTCCTGATGCCCATGCTGGCAGTGATCGAGGACAAAAGCCCGAATGGCTACGTGTTTATGCAAGATGGGGCGCCAGCCCATACAGCTCAACACACCATCACTTTCTTGAGGAACAACTGCCCTGATATCATTGAACAAGGCTCTTGGCCACCCTGCAGTCCTGACCTCAACCCAGTCGACTACTTTGTGTGGTCAGCATTGGAGCAGAAAGTGTACCGGGGTGTAGGAATCCGAGACGTCGAACAGCTGAAGGAGCGAATTCGCATGGCTTCGGATGAACTCTCGCAGAGCTCCATCGTGAAGGCCATTTCCAAGAGGAGAGGCAGAATGAGAACAGTGATTGATCATGGTAGAGGCCACATCGAGCCATTCATTAGAAATTAAAGTCAAAGGTAAGTCTTCATGTTTTTGAACTCTTGCAATGCGAAGACACGATGAAATTTCTAATTTTTCTCGCCGCGCAACTTTATTTGGCGGTGTTTTTTAAAAATTGGCACGGCAGACATGGTATGGGAACTATGGACATAAAACAATATACCATTCCATAGGAAATTAATTGAACTTCCGTTTGCTTTTTCTTTCCAGTCGCTGGAAATAAATAGTTTTCGATCAAATACCATTTGAAAATAGGTGCACTTCTTTTTGGGCCACCCAGTACATTGTGACGGACGAGGATGGCATCAAGAGGGACTACCGGATGAGCTGGTTTTGGTGGTGTAGTGGTAGCACACCTGACCGACAATCAGGAAGTCTGGGTTCAATTCCCTGCTGTTTCATGGATTATTTTTTGGCTTCACTTGCCTTCCAAATCCAGTTACTCATTTCCCCCTCCATAACATTATTTTTGCTTCAATAAAACGGAAAGACATGGAAAGCTGAAACTTGGCATGGGTACCGAGACGATGAGTTCAAGAAAAATGCAAAATTTTAGATCCATGCCTTGGGGTCATATTTTTGGGGGCTAACGTTTTCAAGTACTTTTTTTTGTCCTGGCGTATTCAGCTGCTGTGGAGAAATGAAACTTGGTACATAAGTATAGATACCTATTGGGATGTTGAGTACAGAAAAATGCAGACTTTGGAAGCAAATACCCTGGTGGCACAAATTTCAAAGGGGGGTGTTTTCAAACATTTTGTATGTTAAAATGATGAACGTGGAAAACTGAAACTTTGCATGTGACTACTGAGACAAGGAGTTAAGTTTCGACACATCCCTTGGGGAATTTTTGAGAGGGGCGATGTTTAAAAAAAAACTTGGTCGTATCGAATTAGACAGAAATGGAAAGGTGAAACTTGACACACGTATAAATGACGTGATATTATTGAGTTGATGGAGTATTCAGCTTTCATGGTGCATCCCCTCAGGGCATAGCTTTTGTGTGGGTCGACTTACCCAAACATGATTTTTCACTAGCGAAAAGGGCAAATGTAAAAGACTGAAACTTTGTGGGCATGTACGTCACAGAGGATTGTTTTCCGGAAAAATGGTATTTTTTGTTAAAACGCCTCAGGGCACATATTTTGCAAACGGCGTTATTTCCTGAATTTTCTGATCCAGCAAAACGGAGAGCGCTGGAGAGATTAAACTTCGCAAAGTACCTGATGGATAACTGAGCAGCGAAAATATTTCACCTTTTTTATATATAGGCTCTCGTGAGTAGCTGACTGACATGCTTTGCTATTCACATACTGAGTTCAGGAAAAATTCTACTTTGGTGATTCGTACCATGGGCACAACTTTTCGAGGAACATGTTTTCAAATAGTTCTCTTTGCTTCCATCAAACGGAGACACAGAAAGCTGAAACTAGGCAAGAACGTGACTGCTGACGCACTGAGCTCAAGTGTCAAATGTCAAATTTCCAAAATATTTTTCGGGAGCATATTTCTTGGGGAAGTAACGTTTTCAAAGAAATTTTCATATCCTAAGGAATCGGGCAGAAATAAAAAAGTAGCATCTGGAGGAAGCATAACGGACATGATGGTGACTTGAGGAAAAATTCATCTTTTGTTGTGCGTCTCCTCAGAGCACAGTTTTGGGTGGGCCGCTTTTCCAAATATATTTTTTGTTCCGCCAGCAAAAAGAGGAAACGTTTAGGGCTGAAACTTAGCGGCATGGAGTTCCCTGAGTCTACATTTCAGAAGAAAAAAAAATTTTCGTTAAAACCCATCATGGCACTTTTTTTCAGTCCCATTTTACTGAATTTTTTTTGATCCAACGAAACAGAGACAGAAAACTTAAATTTCCTTCAGATGAAATATGTCCCCTTAGCCTAGATTATGGGAAGGAAGTAATTCAAAATGTATTCGCCACCCTTACTAAAAGGGACACATGAAACTATTTCAAGTTAGCACAATAGAAATAATAGAAATAATGATTTTCATTTTTTTTTTAAACAAGGCTTTCGTCCCCATATGTCACGTATTTCAATGGACCCATACTTTAAATACGTGTTCCCCATTTCGAAAAAATTAAAGAATTAATGATTATTCAAGGTAATGGAGCGCCGAAGTCGCGACCATAGCGAGTTTGTTTGCCCTTCGGGCAAACAAACTCGCTAGTATATGATACTATCAATAATTTATTTTTCAGTAAGAATGATGGTATGTTATCACCAGGATGATGGACAACATACTGGGGCAAACACATAAAACGGAAGCCATGAAAGACAATGCGAAAGTCAGAAGATCCTGCTGGTTTTAAATGAATTATGTCGAGGCCAACACTAAAAATTAGCCAATGGGACAAAAGGAGGCATGGTTGTATATCCAATCCGTATTCCGAATTTTGAGGAGGGTACCCAGGCTCCTTCCAGAGGTACCAAGGATATTAGCAATAAATTTGGACGCTGGAGTCAGTCGCTATTTAGAAGGCACCACTGTGGCCTTAGCAGAGCCGACTCCAGGAGAACCTACCACCTGTAAGGTTAACTCTGTTCCTTGGTTATGTGAGGAGTGTGCCCCGAGTAAGATAGTATACAGTAAGGTAAATAACATTCATTCAAGATTAGAATTTTCCTCAATCAGATCCTTCTCCCATCCAATATTAATTTTTACATTGATTACTATTATCCTACTAAAAAATCTGTTTTATTTCAAGTGTCAAAGAAAATTTGGATAGATTAATTGTTAAATTTTTTAACAAGCACGGTGGATAACTGTTCCTTTTAATAATTCATTACTGTCTTTATTTATAACAAAGTTAAGTACTTCTAAGAAATGTCACAAGGAATTGTATTTTTCAAGAATTTGTCTGGACGAACCAGCCTTGACACTCGAATTTGGGACGGGGCTAGGGATCAAATAGTATTGTTCACTTGTTACATCGCACTTGAACTTGAGATTCTACAGCCTTCCACATCAGTGTGGTTCATCCCAGCGTGGGATTGTCCCTCGTGGACGCGAGAAGCATTGAAGAGTAGATGAAAGCACTTTCACTGCATTGTACAGGTTAACATTTTAATGAATTGAGAAATTCCTCATTTTAACCTTTTTTAACAGTCGAGTCACATAAAAACCCATAGGAAAAGCAACAAAGGCCGGGCTACTCCTATTCCAACGAGACCAGCGGCCTATGGCTGTAATTGCAGCCTTAAACGTACATATACTTTGTGGTCACTGCTTATCAATTAAGAATAGTCTCAGCTAGATTCCCGCTGCCAAAATGTTATATACAGTTCAGGATGGAATATACATTCATGAAGTATATGCCGGGGCACAGCGTTCTACATCTGCTAATATGGGAAAATTGCAGCCAAAATTAGTTCAACTTATATAAAGAAAAATGAAGGATCCATGGAAAATGAAGAAACCGGACTTACATGGAGAAGGAGCAGAAGGTTTCTATATAACTAGCGAGTTTGTTTGCCCGAAGGCTATGGTCGCGCCTTCGGCGCTCTATTACCTTGGATAGTGATTATTTCATTTATTCTTTTCGAAATAGCAAACACGTATTTGAAGTACGTCCCCATTGAAATACGTGACATATGGAGTCGAAAGGCTTTATTTTTATCAAAATCATTACCTCTATGATTATGTGCGTGCCTAACCTGAAATCTTTCCTTGTGTCCCTTTTTGTAAGGATGGACATTACATTTTGAAATACTTCCTTCCAAGAATCGACGCTAAGGAGACATATTTCAAAA